TATAATTTACTATATATATATATACATATACCCATGGTGGGAACTTAAATTTAGTTCCTTGACAGCAACCCAGACTCTTTGAGCCATCTTCTGTCATGAGCCCTAGACCCGACTAGCCTGCCTTTGTACATGAGATACACCATACTTATTTTCAACCCGTGATGAATAAACCCCCTCCCCTTAATTGGGATTATAATCGGGATCCTAGTATCAAGGCCCTTAGAAGGAGGGCATTTTTCAATCATGGGTCTGCATTACACGTTGAAACTTCTGAAGTTGGCACAGCCGGCGAGGAGGCCTGGGAGGTCTCCTCCACTGCATATAGCCCCCCTTAAGTAGATAGAATACGGGGTAGATGGGGATCTTACTACGATATTAGGCAACTCCATATTCTATCTACATACTGGTGCCTCTAAATGGAGAGTGGTGGACGACAGTGTGTTGGGCCTGGAAACTTGCATGTGATATGCCCTGCTGCACCCTAGTAGGCCACAATAAGGCCTAGTGCTGTGAGTATGTCTGTTGGTAAACATGAGGACACCGGCTCCAGCAACTGTTTTTAGCACACGTTGCTCGTCCAAGCAATGGAGAGGTGTCATGTAATGAACGAAGGGTGCGGCAAATGGAAGGGAAAGATTCATGTCATCTATCCACCACCCAAACAGGGGGGGGGCGTTTGATCCTAGGAGGCCGCGTGTTCGTGCAGGAAGGCGAAAAATGTCCTGAATGCGGTTGGTAGCATGGTGTATTTGACAGAGGCTGCAAATCTTGAACCATGACACCTTTGCAGCTTGGCGTAGCATGGGGAAAGGGGCACAGCGCAGCAGCGTCACAAGGCATGCGTCGCTCAGCTGTCCTTTCCAGATTGTCGAAGCCTTCCACCATGCAAGTAGTGCTAAATGTTGAATGCAACTCCTCATCCCTGAATCTTGACTCGCAGGCGTTGCGTAGAAATGGTCCATCCAGACCTGGATCACGCAGAGCTTAGTTAAGCCCATGTCTGCGGCGGAAGGTTTCGCGCGGAAGAAACCATGGCTTCTAGCTCGACAATGTTTTAAAAGGGGTACAAACCGTCACATCAAGTCGCGCAAGCTGTCAAAACCTAGATGAATCCTGAAGATTTGCGCGCCGACAATCCGGATGTGCATCTGGCCATTTGTGAAATGTTGAAGATGATGATACTTGCGCTTTGGAATAGTTGTAGTGAAAGCTCAGCTACTAGCAACCACCTAACAGGTTCTTGGTGTCGTGGAAAGACGAACAAATATCCATGACAGAACTCCAGCGAAGACGATTCCAGGAGCCATCCGAACTTCATGTTTTCAGTGTTGTTGCGCTTGTGTGGACTTGCTGGTTAAAAGTAGGAAAAAAGTGAATCTATCGATATATATATATATATATGTATTCCCATGTTCCCTACTGGCCTTCCAAACTGGGGTGCCTAGTCTTGCATTTGATACAGCCAGAATTGGTTGTGATTCGTCGAGACATATTTCTGTCACTGTTGGTCGCATGCTGAAAGCACTCTCAAAATGACGTAGTGGTTCCCAAAAATGGGGGGACCCCTAAACCTTAAACCCAAAAGAATTATTCCTCCAACAATGTATTTCAAGCGGATTGTGCTGAGTTCTCTCTTCTAGGGGGCCACAGGATTCTCTTGAACAGCGAGCCACGCGGCTTAGGGCTTAGGGTTTTTCCAAGACAGGAGCCGAATCTGGGGGATAAGCAGGCTTGCACCCCTAAACCCAGACAGAATTGGGCTTACAATTCAAGCCAGACTCTACAGAACAACCCCGGTTTCCACGTCATGGTCTATTTGATTTTCCACAATTGGGCTACTAAGCTTACACCCTCAGCTCTTGATGGGGTCTGAGGGGTTGGGCAATCAAGAGGGGTATAGCCAAGCAGACTTCGAGGAGAGTTTAAGTAAGATGGTATCCTTACAGAAAGCTCACAGGCGAACAGCTGGTGTTTGGAGCCTACTCCAGGGCGCAGGAATGTTCTGGGTTGCTGCCACGAGATTCAAATTAAGTTATTATAATCATGAAACCCAAGTATTTAACAATATACCCAAATTATAGTAATTCAACTCAAGTTCCTTGACAGAATCCCCGATGTTTCCAAGACAGAAACTTAATCAACGCTGTGTTTTTCGCACATGTGCTTGGGATGGCTGAGGGCTCGGCTTGTTCCTGCTATAGTCCCCCTTTACCAGATAGGATATGGCTTTGGGTATATTATAATAAGATCCCCATATACCCCATGTTCTATCTACTTAAGGGGGACTATATGTCAATGTTGACTTTCAATGTACAGTGCTAACCCCTAAACCCTAAACTCAAAGCCTAGGCCGCCCCACCTACTATGGCGAAAGGTCTCCGCCTAGCCCTGCCTCAGCACAGCCACGGTTGCGGCAGCGCCCACGATGGGCCCGAGATCGGAAGGAGTTCTCCTTGCAACCAGTACTGGTTGCTCAATAAAGTCATTACGGCTCTCGTTCTTGGGGGTGGCTGGCAGGTTTTATCCACTGCCATTTTGGGGGTGGTTCTAGGGCCCCACCTCCACGAGCGAATTTCGGGACCCCAAGGCCTGAGAGCCTGGAGGGTGGCAGCAGCTCAATTTTTTTTGTTTCCGCTCCAAAAATACACAACCCACAACGAGCTTCTCCCAGAAGCCTCCCAGGCCCCAGAAGCCCTCAAAGCTACTCACAAGGGTCCCAGACTGCCCAAAAAATTGCCCAAGCTCCGACAAGCCTCCCAGGCCTTGCCAGCACCTCCGAACGGTCGTCATGTCTCGGTCGTCGTGGTTGCTCGTGTAGCGAGAGGGATCTCTCCGTCCGGCTGACGAGCGGCACGCGGAGGTCAATAATGTGAGCGAGAAAAGAGTATTTCTGTTGTTGACCAAGATGGACCTAACTGAGTTTAGGTCCTAAACCCTAATAGGAATAGGATAGGGTGGCTTGGCCGCCTGGAACGGCATGGGTGGGTGAATGTGTTGGATGGCCAACCACAGTCAGGCCATGGCAGCACCTCGCATGCGGCCATGCACTTGAAGGATCATTGGCACATATTCATCACTGCTTGTACAGTAACTCGCAGCAAACGCTAAACGCTAAACCTTAAGCCTGAAAGTACACCAGACCATTGGACTTAATTTCAGCACGCATGGTACGCAAGTGTGCTGGTGGGCATACTTTCCAGCGAAGTGTTTACCGGCTTCAGAAGTAGGTCGGGGATAGAAGGGCTTTAGGACGTAGGGTAGCCAGCTTCAACAATGCCGCTCCAATCTTATGCTTCAGTACGATACGTGAAATGCTGCCGTAACTGCGAGTGTTCTGGACCTGTCTGGTAAGCGCAAGTACATGCTCTTCATCAGCCTCCCACCCGCGCATACCCCCGCGTCATGCCCTGTAATGCAAGCAAGGGAAACAGCAAAAGTTTGGTTGGAGCGTGCTTCCTTCACGGAGGTTATGCAATCCTCGTAGAGCTCCCCTACCCTGGCAGATACCACCTCGAACAATCCTTGGAATGAGCTAAAGTCTAAACTCCTTAAATGGGGTTATATATAGGATTAAAAAGGGGACTATTGTAGGGGCTATTAAATGGGAATGTAGGAGTTTAGACTATTGCTCAAATGGCGACTTGTGCTAAATCTTTAGCCAAAACCCCAAGCATGGAGCCAGGCACGTGGAAATGGCCGCGCTGTGCGCAACGTCATCGAAGTGCCTCTACAGCGTGCGGTTTGCCATGTGAGCTACTGTAATTATTAGGGATACCAAGGGACCATGAAGGGTGAACATAGGGGTCCTTCTACTAGTTTAGTATAGTCCCTAAGAATACGCAACCCATGTCTTAGGTGGACCCCCACCTTGCAATTTGCAATGGCTATAAGGGATAATAAAGGACGATATTAGGGTCCTTTTATATACTTATTATACCACTATTACAGGGTCCGGGGGGTCCTCCTAAACCCATGTCCATTAAATTAGGTAGGAAATCTTGACTGTAGCTCATATTTCAAGATACCGGAGCCCCAGTTTGGAATTGAAATTTTGGGGCCCGCCTCGGCAAAGGCTCCTGAACTAAAACTCTAAACCTCGGGTTAGGCACCCCCCCACTGATAGTGGGTATACTAGGATCACATAAATATAGAGGCCTAAATATACTTACCATTATCTCTTGTTGTCACTATTAGTGGACGCGGGCCAACCTACCCTCAACCCTACACCTTAAGGATGTAGAAGCTTTTCCGATTGCTGGGCAGCAGGAAAAGAAGCCCGTAAACCCTATATACCCTATACAGCCCTCTACAACCTTATATAAACCCTATATTAAAAAGAAAGAGGATGGCGTGCACATCCTGAGAGTCCATCAGATCCGAAGTTATAAATGTGTCCCAAAATGAGGGGTACCTTTTCAGGGATCCTTGTAATAAGAACTATCATATTCTTGGGGTCGTTTCTGGGGTCCCCCTGTTAGGGAAACTGCCAAATGTGTTGCTAAACCATAGCTCGTGTTGCGGGAGGGTGGGGCAGAACTCAACCTGTTCCTGATCCTGCACCTTCAAGGCCAAGCCAGAAATCATCAAGTGAGGAATCTTTTATTTGGGGATACTATGGTACCCAATATAGACTAAGATTCTATCCTCCTTTGGGGTATAGTATTTTAGAAGAGGAACATTATCTCGCTGGGTTCAACCACCAAAAAAAACACCACTCAAGTGACATTCTCGAGTTGCTGGTGCTGAGGATTTCTGCGCTGTCATGTTGCAAACCGCGTGATTCCATGATGATGCTTCTACCAGTGAAAGACCCTATATACCCGACATACCCCTATATATTCCCTATGTATACCCCCTATAGAACCCCATGTAACACCTATATTAAAAAAGCTTCAGCCAGTGGAAAACTGCAAAGGCAATCCTGCTCCTAAACCACCTAATCGCGATAAGGCTTTCGTTAAATTAATCGTGCTCTAACCCTGTGCGCTGCCAACATCCCAGATAGTCACTGTGGTTTTGGGTTTAGGATTTAGGGACCATTCTATCGGAAGATGTGATTTAGGCATTTGACTTTTCCGTGCGATTGTCATTATGACAGCTCTATAAACAAGGCCTCTGCACATGAGCTTGGGTAACCCAGACCTGTGATGTGTAAACTCCCTCCCCTGAATAGGGATTACAGTAGGGAACCTATAGCCCCCCTGAAGTAGATAAAATATGGGGTATATGGGGATCTTATTATAATATACCCAAAGCCATAGTCTGCCACCTTAAGGGGGGACTATGAAATTAAGGCCCTTAAAAGGATAGTTTTATGAATCATGGGTCTCCATGACCCCAGCGGCTGCGCTCTTTCCTGCTTGGTAAGCCCGCGGTTTAGGATTTATAGTCCGCCGTCAGTAGATAGAATATGGCTTGGTGCATTTAAAAAAGATCTCAATACACTCCCATATTCTATCTACTTAAGGGGGACTATAGGGCTTAAGCTCTACATGGCCTAAACATGAACCAACCCCATAGGGTTCTCTAATGTAAAAACCTCATTCCGTAAATTGATCTCTACATGAAGGGACCCTCCAGAATCCCCTAATGATCCCTCATGCCCGCCTTTCTGAGAAACTCGCATACCACAGCTCAATGAAACCCTATGCATTACAGCTCTTCTCCATGATCAGCTTCGACAGATTCCAGAACGAGCCACAAGCATACCTCCTTGTGAATCAAAGCTGTCAACTTGCAGCCTATGTAGAGGTAGATTTGAGGGGGCCTGTGAGGGCCCTAAGCCCTAAACCCCAGAAACCCATCTACTGGCCGTCCAATTTGTACCATGCTCACCTTAGATGGTAGTTTCCCAAAATGGGGGGGGCCCCGATATAGAACCCAAAATATGTTAATCCTTACTATAGGGAGTAATTAGTGGAAACCTCCAAATACCCTTGTCTGGCCCACCTTTTCCGTTGGCCCGAACCTGAGGCACCAGACCCTGCTGGCGTTCTCAATTACGCCATGTACCTAACCATATCCCTATCCTCGAACTAAACTCACACATTCTGTTGGTCAAACTCTTGAGAGTGGATGCGGAGAACGCCTGTGTAAAATCCTTGAGAATCGTACAATATCTCAAAATGAGGGTCCCCCAAGACATCCCTCAAAAGGGGATCCCAACTGCAGGGACCCTTTCAAAAAGCACGAGTCTAGGCAACAAAAACTGGGTGTGTTGAGGCGGCCATACGGCGAATGGCGCGAAGACTCTACAGAAGCAATGCTGAAAAGGCGTCCGAATTCGATTGTATGGGGGCATCCGGTTCAGATGCCCAGCTTGGGGTCATATGGGCGATATCTCTCTGCCTTGAAAGTCTATGCTGAGAGAGGTTGATTTCTGGACCCTCCACAAGGAGGCCCTTCAAAGGGTTTCATGCTTTTAAGACGAGATCTCCTGTCCAGCAAACACCATACAGTGGTTTCAGTATCTCAGGCTAGGTTTGGGGTTGGGGCTTTTGAGCAGGCTAGGCGGTCTGCTGCATCTGTCTGGTTGTTTTAAGAGTTCATCGACGTGGAAGAGCATACTTGGAGAAGGACATGCCATGCCCTTAAAGGAGATGATCTTTATAGTGTTTAGGGATACCATAGTATATGATATGCGTTGTATAGGGCTTCATATAGGTGTTTTCTAGGAGTCATAACTCGAAGGAGATCATATGAGCAATGGTCAATACTCGCGTATTAGGCACGAAGAGAAGGAACGCCGTGAGATTTAGGAATCGCGCAGAAAGCCCCAAAAGCGATAAGACCCCCTTCAAGCGATACCCCTCAATGTAAGACGTAACCATGACTGTGTTTTAGCTGAACCCCCCCAAATCGATACCTTTCTTGTATCCTACGCCAAAATCCCCGAAAGCGATAGGAGCCCCCACCAAATTGTCCATGGCATCAGAATATACAAGGAGTTTCGGCAAACGCTCATATGACTTGGTATCAGGGACTTGTACTGGAGTTGACTTTTTTGTTTTGCAAGTTGCCAGCCTGATTACCAGAACCCTAAACCCCTAAAGCCTCTAAACCCTAAAACAGCAGGGGGCTCGGGTCACAGGATAATGTCTCATTCGGACGCCTACCTGCTTCCCTCGTCGCTCAAGCCTTCAGGAGGAATACAGCAAGCTTGCGCCAGAGGATTTTGCTGCCCCTGCCTCAGAACAGGTGGATTTGAACCGCCTGATCATCATGCGATGTCTGCAAGTATACTCCCCATTAAGTAGATAGAATATGGCCTTGGGTATATTATAATAAGATCCTCATATACCCCATATTCTATCTACTTAATAAGGGGGACTATAAGCTCTTAGGGTTCCTTCTTTATAAAGCTACTAACGCTTGCTGGGCGATTTGCCACAGTTTTTTTTTTGCTGCCAAGTATGAGACTCTCAATGGCGTTTGGCCCGTGAGTCCGATAAATTGCGTACTTGATCATTTTGCGGGCTTGAAGCTCATTCTCAAGAGGTTGGGCCCTTTACAGCACAGAGCTCAAGGAACGCACAGGCCATGTTGCAGGCATGTCGCGTGCATCTTTATCAACGCACGCCCTTGCACACGATCCTGGCTCTCTTTCCATGCGTTGCAGCATGCTCTGGGCGCACAACCCAAAAAAGATCAGCGCGCACCTGTGCTTGGGTTGGGTCTCTGAGGATATGTCCTATAAACTTTGCGAACCTTTACCACAGACCGTGGGTTCCCCCATGCCGAAAACCACGGCGACCAAACGAGCAATTGGGATGATGCACTTCTTGTCAAGCCACCCCGTAGTCTCCCTGAAGAAGGGGACCCCAATATAGACCCCAATATACGTTCATCCTTATTACGGAGACCCTGCAAAGTAGGAGTAGGATCCTCAATTTTACCCACACCCCCCCCCCTATTTGCCCGCAGCATCTTCATGTTACGTGCGCATCCAAGGTCATAGCATGAGTATACATACTTCCACAACTGCAAGATTATTGTTATTTACAGCGAAACAAGATCTAGCGAATGCATGCCGGCACCC